CTGCATAACCATCACCCTAGCAACAAAATTTGATGTCATAAATAGATTAAGGAATAAGATGACAGATAAACCATAGGTTTTATGCCGAATTGGCTAGAGATAGAGCAATATAGTGACATAGCAATTCTTTAGCTGTATAAAAGGAAAGAGAGAGGTTTTATTTAAGAACTAAACTATAACTTTGCATCATTTAAATCTAGCCATTTGTTAGATTTAACAATTCCCAGGTATTCTAATGGTTATCTCACAGGAGTTCTTCCATTCACTGTTGAATGAGTAGAATACATGCTTTGCCTACAAAAAGTTCTAGCACAACACTGGAAAATTAAAATACATATTAGCTTGGATAAGTGGTATGGAAAAGTATGGGAAATAAATTGGCTGAAAAATAAACAGACCAACAAAGAATCCTTTCATGAAGTATTGTTTTACTCATGTTTTCTCTCCAGTTCTTAGATATGTTAATGAAATAATTCCTAATGGGATCTAGGCAAATGTTTGTTTAAATAAATGTTTTAAAAATCTAGGAATCTCCAGGTAAGGTCAGGGAAAGATCCTGATTGAAACCCCAAAGAGTTGCCCTTAGTCAGTACTAAAGTAGATGGACTAATGCTCTGTCTGACTGGAGATAAAACATGGGAAGTCTGAATGCCAGCTTCCAGACTGAATAGCTGCAGAAAAAAAACAAATAGGTGAAAACAATCCCATAGATTCCCATCGAACTCAGTTACATATCCAGTTTATGCCACCTGACCAGCCCATTCTTTCTGAATTATGTCCCTTATAAATCATTGTCATTTCCCTCTTGTCCTTCAGAGGTGCCTTAAAATGTTATTCAGACAAATTGGAATAGTCATTCCCCAAGGATTAGCTTCCCTATTATAGTCTTTGGTAGACCTCCATGAGATCAGTCTGAAGCATTCTAATTTCCCTCGTTTAGGTCTCCAGGTGAGTTGTATTGAACTATAAATCCAGTCATCCTCAGTTAGCTGCATTGATAAGTTCATTTGGATCACTAGTGACAAAAGGGGTTTCATTGCTCATGATTTTTAGAGCTGATGAGGATTAAAGCAGAGTGTGCTTTGCCATTTCAAATGGGGTCATTGAGATATATCTTGAATTGTTGATAATATCCTTTAGGACAATATCCTTTAGGACAAAAAGGATAATATCCTTTAGTAAGCTGTCTTTAGTGCCGAAAGCATGGCATTAATCCAAGGAATAAACTTCCTCTTGGTTTGTAAAATCTTTGTAGGAAAAGACTTACCATAGCAGGTAAAGCAGATTCTCCCATAAAAGATTGCTTTTGATAGTGATCCTTTGTATGTTAAGGTGAGCTTTACAAACATGAAAGATTAGAGCAGTGCTCCCCAATCTGTTGCACACAGTTGTGTTTGTTTATTAAATTTATATGGCCGCCCATCTCAAACAAGTAACTCAGTTATTCAATTTGTATTGCCACCCATTGGCCATGCAAATCTGGGTGAGTAATTTCCAGTTAAATCAGCAACAAATCACTAGCAAAAATTAAAACACATCATGCCTGGGGCAGCCCATATATTTAGGGCTCACTAACCTATTGGCCCATACCCAGGAGGAAAATGAAGTTTTCAGCACCTTATGAAAAGCTAGCAGGCTTGGGGTCATCTGGATCTAAGGAGGTAAGCTCTTCCACAGGACAAGCACAGTTCCCCTCATCCTCCAGGCTTGTTAGGTGGGGATAGTGAGAATTGTCATCCAAACATGCAGAAATAACACCCAAACATACAGAAAACATTTAGGAAAAGTAGTTTGGGGAAGGCAATGTCTGAGCAGCTTCATCTCTGTGTTGCTCTATGATGGGTTGCAGTAATACCAGTTTGCTTCCAAGGAACAACATTGTAGAGAAATTTGAGCTGGAAGAATCATTTATCTGTTCTGCTGCTGCTTATCTATAACACTTATTTTGGGAAAGTTCTGAACAATCTTCATCATATTAATTTTTGCAATAACCCAGAGAGGGTCCATATAGAATGTTAATAACAGAAATGGAGCTTTGGTCCCAATTCCCCAGACTTGTTGCTCAAACAGGAAGTGTGTTTGGGATGAAAATATTTTCTCAAACTGCCCAACTCTCATTTCAACTCAGCATGTGTTTCTAGCATATTCCAAGCCACACTATTTTTTTCACCTTAGTCCATATGTCCATGTATAGGAGCAGATTTTACTTTATCAAATATAAATCAGAAAAAATGAATATGATAATAAATGCAGTGGGCTTATGTTGTATCAGAAGTGCATCTTTCTGCATAATTCCATCCAGTTTTTAATGCAATTTGTCATGAGTAGCGGTGTTTAGGGCAGTTGAATTTGAAGAGAAGATTATATCATCATTTCCAAGCTCATTTTTATGTTTTTAGACAGTTTTAAGTAAAGGGCTCTATAGGATTGTGCTGACATCCAAGTTTGAAGAACTTAATGAGATTTCGAGCATGCCTGGGTGTGCAGATAGTGTCTGTTGGTAACCCTTAAACCAAATGCATATTTTCTGCAGGATTGGGTATCATTTGCATGAGCCCAAGTGAACACAGAGTTGCTTTAACGTCTTCCCAACAGAGTACATGCACGCCCAGTGTCCACTCTGAATCACTTTTTGCCCTTTGAATCTAAATCTCTGCCCAGCACTAGTTTTCTGGATGTTAAAAATAACCAAGTGCAATTCTATGTCTACTCAACATTAAGTCTCACTGAGTTCATTGATTAGATGTACTAAACTATGAATAAGTCCGACTGAATGCAGTGGAACTGCCTCTAAGTACTGTATGCACGTACAAGATTGCATGACAAAAATAAGTACTCCAGTTTATTTAAACCCCTCTATCTTGGGGCATAAAATAATTGATCTCATTTTTTGCATCTTCTATCTAAATGATGAAACCATTATTGGTTATGTCCTGATGTTTTTTCTAAGGTTCTGCGTTTTAGCAAAAATAATGGTAAATGTTCCCTTTTACCTTTCCCCTCCCCCTCTAATTAGGCATGCTTGCAGTCCGGACAGAGTTTAATATGTCTTGTATTTTGATATTCTGGAATAGAAGTAACTTCTTGGTTTTAGATTGCATGAGAATTAACATCTATTGTTAAATATTTATTTGGGGATTTTTGTTTTGTGCTTCGTCTCTATAATTCAAAGAGAACCCATTTAGTATAATGGAAGTGGGTCAATGCACTAAATTTTCTCTGGAAAAAATGGATGGAAAGAGAGAGAGATGAGATGAGATGAGATGAGCTTGGGTAGTACAGTCATTTTTGCAAGATTTTTCCTTGGGAAGAAAAACCTGCTTTCCATCTTTTTCAGCAGGGACCAATGTGCACAAGCATTTTATGCTGCCACTATGATATTTGGCTAGGTACAAGGCATCTGGAAACCTCCACAACCTTCTGAAACTCTTTTTCCATTTTATTGCCTGACTGCATGATCCCATTTAATAATTGCGACTTCTGTATGCTGAGAAGTGAAGTATGATCCACTGTTAAGATATTACAGCTCTCATTGATTGGAATGGCAGAAGCTAAATTCCTTCATTCTCTAATAACACATCGTCCTATATGCTTGATGATTTTATCTGAGATAGTACCTTCTGCCAAATTATCCAGAATACACATTAAAGGTATTAGGTTTTAATTTTCTGTACCTCTTTTAAAAGACTGATGTCACATTGATAATGTAGGCAGATCTAAATTATTATTAACTTTCTTGATATTCCATTTGTACTTATTTGTCATACATGAATCTAATCACCTGGCATATTTAAGTATTTTTATTGTTGGACTTAACGCTATTAGTGATGCAGTTCTGAAGAAAAATTCTTCTTGATCTCTCATTGTTTCAGTACATTCCTTTAATACAGATTAGTGCTCCTACACTCCTTTCCTCTTTTGTTCTGGAAAGACTTGTATTTTCTGAAGCATGTCTTCATTTTTTATTTTGCTTGTCAATCTCTATGTGGCCTCTTGGACTTGGTGATAGTTTTTCTGACCTGTGGTATGAAATTGGTCTCAATTAGAAAAATCAGTCTTAACATTTGAGCTGGTGACATGACATCCTCACTGTTGATGTCATGTCACCACCCACCCACCACTGTGCTTCCTGGCAGACTAGAGAGAGGAACTGCAGACTTCAGGCCAAAATGTTTAACTCTTTCTGAGGCACAAGAAAAGGGCAGACTGCATATAAGGAAGAGAGGAGTTTTGGGGGTTTTTCCCAACATACTTTCTAAAAAACTCTAGTCAGCTTCTCCTTTTGTTTTGCTTTTATTTTGGAGAATAAAATAAATGCTAAAAAAATAGTTCAGTTCAGGTTAAGTGTCTTCTCCTTCCAGGAGGGTGACAATCATGAGCCTCTACTGTGCCTGCTTCTGTGCCATTCTTGCACTTTCTGTTCTTTCTGTTGACCACGGATATAAAGATGTGGTGTGGCTTTGACTGCCTCCAGATTCTTTGCTTGCTTTGTCTGCCTTTAGGGGTGCTTGCTCACCTCCAGAGCAAGAGAGCATCCTAGAATATCCACACAAGTTGCCATTGAGCCCCCCCACCTTTTTTTTTTATTTTGCTCCATTGGCCTTCACAGAGGTCTATTAGCATCCGTAATAGCAGAGTTATTATGAAAGATCCCAGGGAGCCCAGTGTGGATGTGGACTTGATTTTCTTCTCACTAAAAAGATGACCAAGAGTTTTAAAAAAACAAAAGAAAAGAAAAAAAAGCCCTATACTATTATGGAGTCCATAAACTTATTATTTCTTGGGCAGCATATAACAAAATGATTACAACTGGGTTGACAGTCAGAACAAACAAATACTTTCAGGAATCATATCATAGAATCAGACGACAGAGCAAGAATAAGGCAAATGAGCACATTTTATTTTGAAGAGCCTCCTCTATCTGTATATTTGATTTTGGGACTCATTCTATAGGCTGTCTTCTTATGCTTTACTGTTACATCCTGTTCTCGCCTTTGCAGCCTGGTTGAGAAGAGGTGTGTTCATCATGGCCCAGGGATCCAGTGACATGGAAACTGCTGATCTGGAGGAGAGTTCTCCAAATATGATTGTTTACCGAAAGGTAAGAAACTCAAGAGTCATTCATAACGTCTGTGCCAACTTCTGAATTAGACAACTGAGGAACCATTAACTCTTTAAAAAATTATAAGTTAGTATTTTGCTTTGCTTTATTGACTAAGCTTTATTTAGTCAGCTAAAAGGAGTTTTCCCAAAAGTTAATGTACAGTAATACCTTGGTTCACGAACACTTCTGTTCACGAACAATTTGGTTCACAAACAGCAGCGTTCGCAAAATTTTGCTTCCATTCGCGAACTCCGCATCGGGTGACAAACACGACCCACGGCCATCTTCCCTGCTGTGACACGTGGTCGTGGCTTCCTGTAGGCGAGATCGCGGTCGCAGACAGACACTGGCTGTGAAGCTTTTGGTGTGCTTTTT